GACCCGCCGGTTTCGCTCGGGCTCCCGGCCGCGTGGGCGCCGCGCCGCCGTAAACTCCCGAGTGCGGCGCCCGCCCGCCGGCCCGCGCCGTATTGCCTGGAGAAGCGGCGCAGCCGAATTGATGCGGCCCGGAGAGAACCACAGAGGACGCCCGCCCAGAAGTAGGGCAAGTTACAACGGCTGAAAACGTAGCGGAAAGAAAGTGCATTCGTGGATCTGTGTATCCATCTGTTCAACAGTCGTGCGTTGCATACGGCTGTGTGCCATGCGCCGACGAGATGAGTGAGACGTGGTTCTTGCAAGGCTTGTACAGTATAGTAACTAAAGCGGCTATCGAACACCTTATTTTTTCAACCACAGCATTTATCTATTCTTGAGTGCCTGCTGCGAGCCTGGCACCATTCTAAATACAGCTGTGCTTAAGCGAGGCAAAGTCGCCCCGTCATTAGAGCTTATATTCCAGTGAAAGAACCAGGTAATACAATAAATAACTAAATTACATTGTATATTAACAGATGTTAAGTCTGTGGAGGAAAAAAAAGCTGGAAGGGTGATAGGGACTCTCGGAGGTGTGGCCGTTTTACACAGGGTGGCGTGGTGGATGCTGAGATGCTCTGCACGGGCCTGACTTCATGGGAGGGGGCGGTGGGAGGCAGCCGCCAGCTTCCCCTCCTTCGGAGTCGCCTGAGCTGCAGGGAGCCGCGGGGGCTCGTGCCCTCCCCGGGCAGCCTGAGCGCAGTAACTAAGTGGGACCTGGATATAAAGGCCGGGCCCCGTCAGCCTGGGCCGGGCCACGCTGACGGGCCATCCTGGCTCCGCAACTCTCTGCTGGGCTGGTAGGGCTTTGCCAGGCCTGCATTGCGGCTGGCTTCATCTGCCCGCTCCCGGTACGTCTCCCTTCCCCACAGCTATGGATCTCTAATGGGCACTGGGCGCCAACCTCTGTGTCAGCACCTGCTCGCAGGGAGTGCAACCTGAGACCAGAGGCCGGGGAAGGCTGCGCAGAGAAGGTGACATTTGAGCCAAGAAGGAGACACGGGAGGAAGCTGTGTGGGAATAGGGTAGCGTTGTCCTGGAGAAGGGAACGGCAGGTGCTAAGGCCCTGAGGTGAGGGCGTGCCTAGGCTTCTCCAGGATGGGCCAGACAGCTAAGGTGGCTGGAGCAGAGTGAGCGAGGGGTGCAGAGAACCGGGAGGGGGGGGAGGGGACCAGACAGCCCACGTCGAGTCCTGAGGAATGGTAAGGACTTTGCTTTTAACTTTGAGACGGAAAACCATTGGAGGGTTTGAACAGAAGGCTGGCTTAATCTGCCTTCAACTTTATTTTACCTTATTTTTGACAGCCTCTCAGGGCCATGTTTATTTCAAGAATAACCCCACCTATTCCCACCCTACTTACTTTGAAAACCTGAGATACCTTATTTTTCACAAGTTAATATTTCAGTGTAAATCTCTAAAATGTAAAGACTTTTAATAAAAAACAGCCTAAAACATCACCGTTGTAAACCCTCAACAATTCTCTGATATTATTAAAGAACTTGTCAGTATTTAAATCACCCACTTTTTTGTTTTGCACTTGATTTGTTCCAACCCGGGTCCCCACTCGGTCCGCCTGGTGGTCCCCAGCTCCTTTCGCTCTAGATCTTCCCGCCCTCTTTTCGCTGCGCTGCGCTTATTGGTGGGAGAAACCGCAGACGCCCCGCCCACTGCGCGCTGGCCCCGCCCCGGCTGAGCGCGGCGCCCCGGGTCCGCGGGACGGTGTTACAGCGACCCGGGTCCGACGCCTTTCCT